TTATACATAGCCACGTAGGCAAGTACCCCACCTAAAGTTAAGAAGTGATAAAGTCCAAACGCGAGGATGGCTGGTACAGCAGTTATAAACTGCCACATCAACCATCTTCACCTTGCAAGCCTGTAAAAATGCTTCTTCACGCCTCTCTTAAAGGACCCAGATTGTAGGAAGGAGGGAACACGTGCGTGGGCAAAGAATTCCACTTACGAATAGTATGACAAAGAAATGAGTCTGTATAGAAATAGGTTGTATGTATTTTTAGAGACAAAATATTAAAAAAAATGTGTGTCCTAAAATACGTTTTTATTCTGAACCAACCTTATCACTTAGCCTCCTATTAATAAATCTATCTTTATATATATAATTCTTCTGTGAGTGAACTTCTCTTAAACGACTGGACCGATTTTGATGAAATTTTTTGTGTGTGTTCAAGGGGATCTGAGAATGGTTTAGATTCACAATTTTGTCCGCTGGACAACCCCTATTTTTTTAGGGCGGTACGAAGTTCGCTGGGTCAGCTAGTATATATATAAAACTCAAAGGTGACTGACTGACTGACATAGTGATCTATCAACGCACAGCCCAAACCACTGCACGGATCGGACTGAAATTTGGCATGCAGGTAGATGTTATGACTTAGGCATCCGCTAAGAATGAATATACAATGATATTCATCTATGATTCTTCTTATACCTGCATGCAGTCTCAGCCCGATCGGTTTAAAATTGACAAAGTTTCATACAAACTTTCATTCCTTATTTATCCCCTTGGGGGTAGAATTGATCAAAATCCTTTCTTAGCGAATGCCTACGTCGTAACATCTACCTGCATGCCAAATTTCAGGCCGATCCGTCCAGTGGTTTGGGTTATGCGTTGATAGATCACTATGTCAGTCAGTCAGTCACCTTTGAGTTTTATATATATAGAGAAACATGATTTAAACCATTAGATCATATATGTATATTAGTCATATATAAGCAGCAATGATGTATTCTAATAAAAATAAGTAATTTTTCTCAAGTTCTTCAACAAAAGACTTCCCTTTACATTATGCATATAATTATAACGAATGAGAGAAAGATGTTTACGACATAGATATGGAATCATAGTAATGGAAAGTGACTTCCGAAGTATCTGTGAAGTCGCAATTTCAACATGAAGACTCTGTATATAATGATACAGGGAGAAAAAGGCAACCCTTGCTGAATTCTCGCCGGTTCTTCTCAGTATAAAGTCTCCCTCTGTAGTTTAGCGAACCGATGGCGTAGCTTCTCGACCTTCACAAGTGTTTCTAACATCCTAGACTGAGTAAATGATTTTTGAGTTTGAATCGCGACTTTGTTGTACGTAAGCATGTTTACATCCCAACGAACGAAGTGAGCACAGTTTGGTGTAAAGACAGTTGGAGTTCCGTGAAAGGACATAGTGTAGCTTTTTATTCCAAAAATATTTTTAAGTGGGTGGAATTTGTATGGGAGACTAACTTTTCCACGCACACAAGTTCCACCCACTAGTTTAATTATAAACACATTAGATAATTACATACGATTTATTTTAGACAAGTTCGAATCCTGGTGGGGCAAATGTTGGGCATGATGAATACGAGCGTTTGTACCTAAGTCATGGCTGTTTTTATATATTTCTAGATAATCATACTTATAAATGTTTCAGTTTATGTATACGACGACCTTTTGTATTTGACGACCTCCGTGGCCGAGTGGTTTGTACGCCGGGTTTCAAGGTGTCGCCGACTCGAGAGGTCCCGGGTTCGAGTCCCGGTGGGGGCAGATGTTTGTGTGATGAATACGAGTATTTGTACTCTAGTCATGGATGTTTAATATGTATTTCTATATAAATTTACTTATATATGTACTGTATATGTATTCTTTCCGTTACCGTAGTATCCCATAACACAAGCCTTACAGTGCTTACTTTGGGGCTAGGCTAATTGGAGTGAGTGTTGGAAATATTTATTATTTATTATTATTTATTCTAACCGCTACCCTCATGTTTGGTCTTCGCCCTCAAATTTGTACAAACATGTCTAAAACAGCTCTTATGAAAAAGTTTTGTAGTTGGCTTATGGTTAAGGAGGCGGCATTTTCTCCTTAATATACTAAATTAAAAAAAAAACTTTTAATAATTATTTGTTTTGATTGTCACAATTTATTATTATTATCATTTATTAATTTCGGTTACACTGTGATTATCGTTTATATTAACGATGTTGTCCAATAAAGAAGTTAACTTTGATCTTTATCGTGTTTAATACCAAAGTATGTTATTTCTACGTAAATAAAAGCCGCATTTAAAAAATCACACAAACAATTAAATGCTCGTTTGAGAGCCACTTAAAAAGGACGATCGATTTTAATTAGATACTGTAAAAACTCGTTTTAATTTATTTTGTTGGTGCTTATATTGTTTTAATCCTTTTTCTCAACCGGTTTGGTGTATGTCTGTTGGAAATTGTATCGGTTTTGGCCTATCTTGAACCAGTTCATCGTTTCATCATCATCATCATCATCACTCCACAGCTAGCTAGATCACAGGCCTAAAAAAATGAAAAAGGAAATAAAAAAAAATGCCTAGAAGGAATATATTGTTTTAAACTTTCATGGTCACTAACATTATAGTAATATAAGTTACTAGCGGCCCGCCCTCGATTCGCTTCGGTGTATAGCTGAAGTGTAGACTATAGTTTTTGTTCTCAGGCTTGTATTATACACAATGACATTCATCTATGATTCTTCTTTTACCTGCATGCAAAGTCTCAGCCCGATCGGTTTAAAATTGTCAAAGTTTCTTACAAACTTTCATTCCCTATTTATCCCCTTGGGGGTAGAATTAATCAAAATCCTTTCTTAGCGGATGCCTACGTCATAACATCTACCTGCATGCCAAATTTCAGCCCGATCTGTCCAGTGGTTTGGGCTGTGCGTTGATAGATCACTATGTCAGTCATTCAGTCATCCTTGAGTTTTATATATATAGATTTACGTGATTGTTACCATGTACCTTGTATTGCCGAAATATCGTAAACTCGCAAAAACAAGGTACATGGTAACAATCCCGTAAGTAACTTATATTACTATTTTGAAAGAAAACCATGGAAATAACTTAAATTTATGTTTTTTTTGATTTTTTTTTGTTTTCAAGAAAACAATACGTAAATATTTTATATTTTATTAAGGTATATTAAGGCTGATTTAACACGTATTGATTTCAATAATTAACATTTGTTGAAAGCTTAGTGTGTTGGTAATTGATTGAGTTAAATCAAATCATGATTTATTCGTTGTCATCGGTAACGATATGTTGTTTAAATTTATATAAACGTGCCTCCATGACACGCTTAACAGCATAAGAGAATTTGCTAGTAATTACTGATATTAAGATCATATTTTTAAAATAAAATCATAATAAAAAAGGAATTAATACATTAATCTATTAAATCTATACATCAGTATCCGTTAAAAATTCATTGGCATTATTATAATAGATAATACTAGCTGACCCAGTGAACTTCGTATCACCATAAAAATAAGGGTTGATGGTAGAGGAGTGAAAATTTAGGGTTGTATGTATTTTTGTATGATGTATCATAAAAAAATAATAACAAAAAATGTTATCCAAAAAATATAAAAAATAATAAGGGTGGACCCACCCTTAACATGGGGGATGAAAATGCATGTAAGTAATTCAATTACGCACACCGTGACACTAGATTTTTTTATTTATTAGAGATTATTTATCAGCATAAAATGTTCGTTAGTCTTTTAAATGTATATATTTATATTACAATATTTAATGCTATCAGGTAACCTATTATATAATTTAGGGTTTTGGGTCACCCATCCAATGACCAACCACTGCGAAAGTTGCTTAACTTCAACGATCGCAGCCGAACGCGCTAACCACCCGCGCCATGGAGCTCCTCATTTGGAGAATTATACTTTTTATAAATTTATGACTATTAATCAATGTAACATCCTGTACTTTTGTGGTTTATAAAATAGGTTGCATAGAAATAGAATTGTTTGGTGTGCATAGTTTGTTTTAAGATCGCGATGATGTGGCCCATTATTAATAGTAATGGGTCACAAATACAGTTACCCCCTGGTGAATATTAGAATAAGTAGGGAAAACCCGAGTATTTAAAAAAAAACTCAGAATGAAATATATAATCTCTTGTTTTGATTAAGACACGGCTTCCAAGTGTTATGACGCTAAATGTACCATTTGTGAAGAGTTATTTAACTTATGGTGAAAAACGTATTAAAAACGCGTTCAATCGTCCAAGGACAGCGGATAATAATACAGAATTTATACTACTTGAAGAATTATAAATAAAAAACAACAAAATCCGAAATAAGAACGAATTAGTTCAATGTCTTTGGCACTATTAAAGCGCCCATGAATTCCAACTATACCAAAACTTAATCGAAAGGTAAATATTAAACATGAGAATGTGATAAATAATCTATAAGCCAACGCTTATAAATATACTCCAAACCACTTTCTATGATTGGTTTGAAATATACACAGCTAATAATTATCACACCGATTTGGGTGGTTGTCATTATCGACATTACAATGTCGCCACACATTAGCACCATGTATGTAACAAACATATTTCCGTGTTCAGTGAGCGTTTATATAGCAAAAAATATGTTAAAGGGATATACATAGGAGCATAGGTAAAATATCTATGTATGCATTCTAAACGAGTTACCCGTGCCGCGGTCATTAGTGTGTGGCTATAATATTGTGGATTTGAACGCTAAACGCGTGTAGAGCAGCGATGAGTAATCGCGAACTCGGCATGTGTTAGCGTGAGCGGTCGTGTTGTGATGCATCGGAGTTTATAGATAAATTTGACGATATTCGCTCGGAGAGTGACCGCGTCCGACGTCGGCCGACGACGGAGCGCGAATGAGCAGCGGGGGGCGTGAGGGGCGCTTGCGCGGCGCGGGGCAGGGTGAAACAGCTGAGCGCACGGGTATATTGACAGTGGGACGCGTGTTGCCGGTTGCCGTTCAGTCAGTAGGTTCGCTGTCACCGCGGAGTGCGAACGTGTAGCCGCATCGCTCCCAATTGATTATGCCACGATCGCCCCGCAGTACTAACTGAGCTGCGGTCGGGACACGTTAAAATTATGACTTTTGGACCGATCGCCGGCGAAGAAGACAGCAGCAGACACAATCTAGAAGAGAAAGCGTTGAGAATAGTGTCCAGATACTGGGAAGTCTCCGGTGCTTCGTCCGCCGAGAGGCTTCGGTACGGGAACAAACGGAGGCTCCTAGTTGCCCCCTTTGGACTGCTATAAATTTTTGGACAATTTTATTACTTGGACTCGAACAAATTAGTATTTTAGTGTTAATTATAAGTGCAATAGGTGAACTGTGTTTTTTGTGTTAAGTTTTATTTTTCGGGGTTTTTTTATTTTGGATAAATGAAAATGGTGCCCCAACAAGTGTCGGATGTGAGATCGATGACGCCGACGTCGAGCGGAGTCGTGTTCGGTTCTCAGCTGGTCGACAAAAACTCGTCCACCCCATACACGGATGCCACACAGGTAAGCCATGACTTAGGGAATATCAAAGTGATCCATAAAAATCTTAAAACGGAAAGACGTCTCAAAAAAACCACTACTAAATATACATTAAATGATATTAAAAAAAAAACGAAGTGAAATACAGTACAAATTTATTTTCAGTAAGTTGAAAAAAAAATATACTTTAAAATAAATGAAAATCTAATATAATAATAACAGTATTACAAATCAAAATAAAAAATAGCATATCAATAATATTTCAGAGGTAGTAAAAAAAATCAAAAGTGAAATACAACACAAACTCACCATATAAGTTGATAACTTAACAATTTTCTTTAAAATACAAGTTATAACGATCAACTATCAAAATAAAATCAAGCGACGAAAATAATCAACATAAAGATAATAACCACGCATTTTATCAAAACAAAAACAAAATTCAAAACAAACCAAGGCAAAACTTTCTCTACGAAAAAAAAAACATCCAATCTATAGCAAGGCCAAAATAATGAAGATTAACAAAATAGCAGTTCAATCATAAAATCGTAATACGCAATAAAATAACTTGAGTAAATAAGACAAAAAATATTGCGTACTGCGTAATCTTGGAATCAGGCGTCATAAGCCTAAACGAATTTTCGTAAACATGTTTTGTATTTATTACACGCATCCTGGACAGAAAAAAAATAAAACAGATCGTTTAGCTGCAACTTCCTTGATCGAGCATTTAATAAAAAAAAAAACAAACGTAAGCAATGTTACCAAACGCGGAAAAAGAACATAATAAAAGGCTGATCAGATCTCTTAAGAATATTTATTGTGAAAATCAACAGAGTGAAGAGAATCGTAACAGATGTAAGTTGCCCAACATCGTTAAACAGATAAATTAAATTCTACCAATAAACGGGTCGTTAACTTGAAGTAATGATTCAGGAACATGCAATCTAATGTATTGGGGAGACTGGAAAAGATCCCACGCAAACGACCCTGTGAACTCTAAGTTGAAAATCTCTGGTGAATTAAAATGCATCACCTTAAAGATATTCAATTTGATACAATTTTGCAAATAAATATAAAAATGTGCATTTTGTTAAATTAAATTAAATTACGAAACAAATACTTTAAAATTTTACATTAGTATTTTCACTGTATTTTTATTTGAAGCATTATATTATTATATTATCCATTTATAAATTAAAAGAACCTGTTCCCTGCCTGAGACCTTGACAGAGCTGAAATTTTTCTATTTTTATTTTATAACTAAAAACAAACAAGACGTCTATGTAAAATGAATAAAATGATTTTATTAGCTTATTTAACTGACGATCGAAACATTCACGAGCAATAAAATACAATATTGAAAGGATTCAATATCGAGCCGAAAAGTCACCAATGACATTGAATCAACGTATAATACGTATTTTTTAAATTAAATTCATAATCATAAATAGCATTAGAATATCTAGGAACCGAATTTCATGTATATCATAGCGAGGCTTTAAAGTTCTCAAATTAAAAAAAAATAGTCACTGAAATATTATAAATTATTGTGCAATAAAATAATTAGTGCATCTAGTCACGTATCCCCGTATATTCTAATGAAAAAGTCGGGGAATACCTTGCCTTACAGAATTCGTCAGTAACGAAAATAACACACGGAGTGTCGACTTAATTTAGCGTTCGTAAAACGAAAAGGATAGGCACTTAGACGTTAACGTACCATTAAACATGGACGCTGATAGTAATGAATACAGCAAACGAGCAAATATCAAAGTGAGCAAAGATAAATGAACTGCAATAGTTGTGACGCAGGCGCTATTACAATCAGGGAGCAACGACACACGCAACAATTTTTTTATACTAAATTGCATTAAATGCAGCCTGATGCTCCGTATCGTTCGAAAATGAAGCTATACCAGTCAAAACAATCGATAAAACGAAAAAAATGTGTTCGATTTTATTACTCTCAAGCGAATCCGTAAAATGCGCCGGCGTACCCAGAGAGTGCATTAACATTTCAATGTCAACCCGTAATATTTTTAGTCATCTCCTCTGTGTGAGTGGCCTTTCTCATGTATGCCGTCGTCGATATGAGCGTTACTGCCTGTATAGCACTTTGCCTGTGTGACACCCGCTCACTACTAGGAAATGGTAATCTTAGGTCATTCGCCACTGATTTTAAAACGAACTTTTCAGGGAAACGCTTAATCATGCCCCTCATCAGATAATTCGCACGATAAAAAATATCTTACGATACCTCGACGGAAATTTTTCTCTAAAGCTATGCGGAAACGATTATTTACAATTGTATCGTTTATAATGTCATAGTTTAGATTGCAAAAGCACCATAATTACCTATCAGTCACGAGATGATATTAAAATAAGACGATTGTGAAATCAATATCGTTGGAGTCGGAGAGGAACGCAATTCGTGTGCTGTCCAGTAAAAATTAACTTAGGGCGGAGTTTCGGATCATTATAATCTGAACGGCGAGCGAACTGCGGACTTAGTTTTTGTTATGTTTTTTACAACTTACATATAGGTAGTCGGGTTGTTGCCAACTTACTATACCGTTCCGACCAAGGTTGCCTAACGCCTCCGTATACCTTTACTACTTGAATAATTGTCCGTTCTCCAACCGATTGTTAGATTATACGTTTGAAACTGAAAAACACGCCTGGCTTGCTTTTAATTTACTTTAAGCACTTCCTAGAAAGAAAAGGCTCTTTTACCATTCCAAAGGCAACTTTTTCTTCGTGTTTGTCTACTATAATTCTGGATTTCTTACAACTGTTACTCACGAAAGCGTTGTTTTGTAATTTGAAGAACTCTCATTATACTCAGGCTGGAGTTTTGATGGAATCCCGCCGGGATTATAAGTTGGGATTGATACTGTAAAACTTTTAAGCTCTGACCTGCAGTAAGCAATTCTATATCGGACGGTAATAAATTAACATTCAACGCCGCTGGTTACCTTTCTGAAACAATTTCGTATTAGATCCTTTCCTCGTATAAGTTTATCGTTTAAGTAAGCAAATTTATGTACCCTAATGCAGTGTTGGCAGCTCGACGCAAATCAACATTTGATTGTAAAATACGTACCTATGTCGGCAAATGCAATTTGCTCTACACTCGTGGGTGGTGGTTTAATGCTACCATTATGCTTCAGCACGGCGAATGTTGCTCAAGAAAATTACCGCTGCGTATAGATAAACACCTACCGCCTGTATTTACAGAAAAAATTAGTGGAATCACGTTTATAGAGTAAGACAACAAGGTCTGTGGGAGTTTTTTTACGGTGTGTGATGAATGAATAAAATTTACTTAAACCTTTACGATACACAGTTTCATTAATGTTAATTAAACGTCGTTACTAACAAAACCATCTTATTTGAGTATGTAGAACTTAATACAAGTGAACACCATTTTAATAAACCACAAACATGAGATAGCGTATTGCTTCAAGGTAGACAGAAATATTCTGGACAGCGAGCGCCTCGAGTAAGTTTGCGTTTTGAAACTCAAACCATGACATGTGAAAACAGAAAGTCTGAACGGCAAATAGCTATAAATTTGGCCGGGCCACGTTGACGGGGCGAAAATCGCAAGGAACAACTTCAACGTTTGAAACAACAAAAATAAACCATATATCTTTTCACTTGAAATTTTCCGCATAGGGTTTTGTTTGCTGTTTGCTCGGAAGCAAAAGACTTCTGATACGAAAAAATATATTGGACAACTTTATGTCAGGACTTCTTACACTTACTGAGATTGAAGATTTTAAGCGAACTGCTGTAGTATATTATAAGTGGCTACCATTTACGTGCAGCTATTGGATACTATAAAACTTTGTGTCGACTTTCATATCGGGTTTGAACAATGAACCGAATACTCGTTACATTAACTTGCAAAAAAGTCCCAAAAGCGTATAAAACAAAGTGTCTTTATCCTATTCTGATGCAAAACATTTCCAATCTAATTCATTCTTGATTCTCGTTCTTGATGAAAGTCTTTCAAAACATCGTAAAACATAAAACCTTACGGGCTCTTATCGATGGAATTTATTCGGTGATCGAGACATAAATTTATTCCATATCCGTCAAGTTCTCCTCGTGCATCCCCAGTCTCGTAAACCTTCTAGGTTGATTAGGTGTTTCGGTAGCAACTTTATTGTACAAGTTTGATTGGTAAGTAATGGGGCTACATAGTACTAACTTTATCAGTTAAAATTTGCTACCAATACTTTTTCTTTAGTCGAGCTTAAGAAATGGTTTCGTTTCTTATAAATGATCAATAATAGGCATTTAGTGAATAGTTTAAACTAATATTAAGGTTTTGGAAAAATAGGGATACAAGCAGTCAAGGATGTTTATGTTATTTTGATGAATATAAAAAAAAAAATACTCACAACAGCAAGTAGGTCAACTTTACTGTACCTAGTGTTATAGCCTCTGGCCGTTCCGTTTTCTCATTTCTGAACGGAACACTAAAAACGATAAAATTTACGACTGGCTTTTAAAAAGGACGACATTCGATCCCGGTTGCTTTCGAAAAGAAATTTCTCTTTTGTTGAAGCTGCCGTTTCGCTTCTGCTTTATTTTACCTTGAAACTCAGTTCCTTGATTTTATAGCGCGATTATTAAGGGCCCAGACGAAACTGAGCGATCGTTGGTTTCTGCGAATGGCTTAACTTCCCTATGGTAATCGCATTTCGATTTAGGCATGCTTGATTCCTAAGGCGATTTAAAGCCTCAAACAAATAAAGTATATTTTGATTTATTTTGTATGAATACTAAATTTATTGTCAGAAATCTCAAACCTAAAATTATTCCGATTTGGAAACTAAATCGGCTAAGTTGAGCGTGCATTATCGACAATGACCTTTAAAAGCTTACTTTTATTTCGTTCAATTGAAACCGGTTCTATTCATAGCCCAGAGAGTGTACAGCGAGCCATACGTGAATACACCTCATTCTCAAAAGTTCTAAAGCGACTTTTAACTTTATAGTAACAAGAATAA